TAATAGTTTTGTTTAATTTAATAATTAATAATAATTATTATTAATTTAAATATTTTTATTTATTAAATTAAATAAAACCATTAATAATTATTTTTAAATTACTAAATTGAACAATTTTTTAACTTTTAAATTGTATTAAATTATATAATTTAAATTATTAAATAACAATTGAACCTTTTAATATTAAAAATTATTACTTAACTAATCATTTATATTTTATAATTTAATACAACTTATACACAACAAAATAAAGAACATGATTGTGAAAGATCAAAGAGTTCGTGTGGCTCAAGTGGCTTAAATGACTACTTAATTATTGATTAAAGGATATTTCATTTTAAGTGTAAAGTTCAATTTTAATTTTAATTTTTGTATTTTTTTGCTATGATTGTAGTTGTTGCTGTCCAAAAGGGCAATTAATGAATTGCACCTTTATCTAAATTCAATATTTCTCATTAACAATTTTTAACTTTATTAACCTCTAACCATTACAGTTACCGTTGTAAAAAAAAAAAAATTTGTGAAAGATCACATTCACATCCTATTTATGCATAGAGTTAGGGTAATTTGGTCTTTCGGGGGGAGAGGATATATACGGGTCAAATCTTCAAAGGCTAAGTGGGCCAATCTAAGTGTTCAAACAATGACATCAGAGAAGACGTGGAGGGAAACAGATTAAACAGACAGAAGTACAGAATAGATACAGCCCCCTCGATCCCACTTGACACGTGCCATTATCCTTCGTCCTCATTTCAATTCACACACGTTTTCATCCCCTTTTCATTCGCGATCCATCACTTCATCTCACCGCGAATTCACGATCACGAGAAAATCAAACTTGTGAATCCAATTCTACGAGGAAAAAAGAATTGGATTCGTGGAGGCATGTCGGCCACCATAATATTCGCAATAATCGTGTCGTTACATATCGAGGGAAGTTCTCATCTCACCGACTTTTGATAGTGTATTATTATGTTTTTTTTTATTTTAATTACATAATAAAAAATATTTATTTTTTTTATTTTTTTTATCTACATGATTTGTGATTTAAATTCAAAATCTTTTACTTTTAATATAAAGAGAAAATCGTTAAGTTACTCAGATCATTAATAATATATTATTATGTTTTATTTTACGTGTTTATTTAACTTATATTTAAAGGTGATAAATTAAAATATATTAATTACACTTGGACCACGATCCAATAATTATAGATC